ATGGTCGAGCTGTAGATGTTGTACTAACATAATGTAGCATTGTCAGTAGCACTAGCACTAGCAGTAGCTACTGACAGTACTGACAGTAGCTACTGACCATGCTACAGCAGTGAGCAGCAGAGGTGGGGAGAGGCGGGGCTATGGCTTCATCTATAGGGAAATGATCGTATAGAGGCGATTACACGGAGCCGTTTGACCCCCCAGAGCGTTTCGTTTGCAAATCTATCCACCTTGGGACCCGTTATCGTTTGTGGGGTCCGTTTCTATCGTTTTGTTACGGCCTCGTGTAAACGAAAGGGCCATACTTAAGAGAAACTATGCGGATCCAGCCCATTTTGTTCTCGTGTAAACGGCACCTTAGGCTGACCAAAATTAAGCGTGATGAGACAAGAGGTCATGTGGAAGGAGATTTTTTTGGCAAACTGCCACGGGGTGCATTAAAACAAACACGTCATAAGTAAAGTAAAAATATTCATGAAGACATCAAATGGGTGAGGAACAAACAGCTAACTAATATTCATTAAATTGATAATGTACAGTCTTTGAGTTTCTTAAGCCTTGTAACCTCCTTATATAGTACTTTTCTCTTTAAGTCGACTAACCCATTTGCAGGAAGAACAGAATTCACTTACACACTCCACTGCTGTTTTTAAAGGCCAGAGACATTTGTCATGACGTGTTAAGCAGGAAAAGGCCACACAAAGACTCTCATTATGTATCCCCTTCTATTGAGCCCCTGAAGTCATTAAATCTCTACTGAGTGAATCTTTCACTGTGGTCCTTATATCATATGTCGTGAGTTAAAATATGTCTCTACCCTTTTGAGTGTATAAGGATGTTCAGCTTTGGTTGTGTCAAATACAAATGGGGGAAATCTGTGTCCCTCCAAATATCGATTCACAGGATAAAGTAAATAAGCGTGTGGTCCTCCCTTCTGCAGGTGCCCTCTCCCAGAGCCAGCTCCACCCTCTCCTGGGCGCGCTGCACCTGCCAGGCCGACCCCTACAGCCGCGGCCTCACACCCAGCTGGAGCACTTCCTGCCGCTCAGGGTCAACAGCTCCTCGCCGCTCAGCCTCTTCCCCAACTTCAGCGCGGTAAGATACCATATCACACCTACAGACTGTATATAAAGATCATGTTATCCTAAATACTCACTCAAAAAGCGATTTCCTTCCAAAACAGAACCCTGATTTCTATACCTCCAAACCCAAGGAAAGATTCAGGAATATTGTTGGCAACATTAAACTAAAATCCTACTGGATTCAGTGTGGCTTAGAGATTTAAAATGCTTCTCCGAGTGTTTCCTCTTCACTCGTAAAAATGTTGTTTCCTGTTATCTCAAAATCCCCCATAGAAATGTGAAACATATATTCAAACAAAAAAGTTGTTGTTTTTTAGATTACAGTATAATTGAGCTACAGTACACTCAATTGTATAAAAAAAAGAAATATATAAAAATAAAGCTGTGGAGCAGGGCTATTCAAAAGTAAGGAATGTTTTGCAAAAGACAACTTTATTTTACTTGAAATGTTAACAAAGTAGCTACACATAAGTTAAATAAATATAACTTTGCCCAGTGGTGAAAAAATACTGTCCAGACATTCTGAATATAACAATAATCTCTCTCTCACTCAAACACACACACACACACACACACACACACACACACACACACACACACACACACACACACACACACTCTAAATGTAGATGCGACAGACTGCCATAGTCTACATTTAGCTTAACCCTTTATGAGTCAGTCAGAGCAATGCGATAAATGTTTCAGGCATGTGGGAGGCTGCAAAAAAAAAAACCTGTCTGACACCTGATGCTAAGAATATGAATCAACTGACAAATCTGCCCTGTAGGGGTTACAAATATAAACAAAATAAGTAATAAAGAGTTAAAAAATGTTAATTTAAGAAAGGAGTTTCTACATATTTTATTCCGAAAATAGAAACAGCTTGCATTCATTCTTTTCTCCGTGAATATCTAATTCTTCAGTCTAAGTGAAAATAGCTACACCACAGGTATTCAGCTATTTACACCCACACCACCCCAAACCCCCTTTCCCCTCCCCCTCGTCTCATAATGGCGTAAAGCACGGATTTAAGCTACTAAGCACCAAAGCACGTTCCAAAAGTCATGGCCATATTGTAATTGAAGACGTCATTTCACACACAGTGCGCCTTACGCCTTTATCGCAGCAGGAGGCCCCCAACATCGTTACTTGTCACTGTGTTATTTTTGGGCTAACTGCTTAACTGAAATTGCCTGTTTGCATTTACTCTGAAACTAAAAATGTGTCTCTCTGTGTGTTTGTTTTCCCCTCCTAGATGGACCCAGTGCAGAAGGCAGTGATCAACCACACCTTTGGCGTGGCTCCACCCAAGAAGAAACCCATCATCTCCTGCAACATCTGTCACCTGCGCTTCAACTCCACTGTGAGTCAGACACTTCATTCAATTCAGTTCTTTCCCCTGATATCACAGAGGGAATCAAATGTGATTTATTCCCCTTTGAGCGTCCTTTGAACTTTGGAAAGTGGATAGAACAAAAGCTTGAAGAAAGGTCTGGATTTACTTTTTAACTCACTGGGGAAAGGTGAAAAAAACACCTTTAAGCACTCTTATCTGTTTTCTGCAGTATGTAGGCATTAGTTAATAACACCAATTGGGGTTGCATTTGTTTATAATAAAGTCAATTAGAGAATATGTACTGACTGTTAGACCCTCTGACCCCCTTGATGTTATAGCTGAAAGTCTGCTTTGCTAAACTTTAAAACACAAACACTTATTGTCTCGTGACCTGTCATCTAAGCCTAAGGCCCAATTTCTGACCATTTTTGCACTCAAGCGTCCACACATTTTCAACATATTTTATATTTTCTGCATCCTATTCGACTAAAAACAATCTTGAAGCGGGCTTTTCATCGTATCAGTATATTTCTAAAGCTTCCATTTTTTTAAATAGACCAATAGAAACCAGTGAGCTAGTTCTATGCGGTTTTCCTCTTTATCACATCTCCTTATTTCTATTAATTTGGCTCTCGTGCCTATGGACTTCGTTTATACATATTTGCATTTATATTGTCATGAGGAACCTGGTGGAATGACAATGACTCCTCTTTGTAAAACTTGAAGAAAGCAGGACACCAGCCTGAGCCCGTCATACCTCCCTTACTTCCTCATCTGCCTCTTTCTTCATCTCTCTGTGTCTTCCTCTCTCTGCTCTGGACTTGTGGACACAGTGATGCTGCTGTAAGAAATGTGTTTCTAGCTAACAGGCTGTCTCCTCCCCCCTCTGTGTCACATGCAGCTGAGCTGAGGGTGCTGGTTGACCCGGGAGTTGGATGCCGGGTTACAGGCAGGTACAGGGTGCCCAGAGCGGCTGGGAAATGCCCTTGATAGAGAATATTGACTAAAGGAATAGTTAAAAAATAAATTCAAGTCTTTTCATATTTTATACTCACTGTCTGTGTAGTATATAGAGTAGATTTCATTTTCACAGTCATTTATATTTGACACACAACTTCAGGTTGTCATTTAAATGTAAACATTGGAAATCCACAGTCTGATACAAACTAGGATTGTTAACCAAAGCTAACATGATTTCTAACAACAGCAGTAGATTTAACAGTAGTCGATCATGCTGAATTTTAATGGTCATTATGAGTCATTATCAGAAATGTCATTAGGATTTCATTTCTGTGAACCATGAACAATCCACAGCTGTCAACATATTTCAGTATGTACCAGAGCAGTGGACCAAAAGACCAGCATCCCTAGAGCCAGACCACTAGCAAACCTAATGTAACAAATGTTTTAAGAGAGGAATTCAAACCACATAAATATAGAGAGATGGTTTTCAAGAAGTGAATTCACAATGTGGAATTTTATTAGAATCAACTCAAGCAAATACACAGAAGCATACATACAGCCTGCATAGTGGTAATATATAGAATAAACAGTAAGAGGTATATATGAATATGCTAAGATATATAAACAGAATTACATTTTGCGTTCGTTAAGAATTATAAGTACAAGTAGGTTACAAATACAAGTAATGGCAATAGTAAGATATTATGTACGGTATATAGTTGCTCATAAAGTACAGTAAAATACTTTTCTTCTGTATGAAGACAAAGATGGATGGCTGTGAAAATGATTTCCACTCTTTATAGTACATGACAGGTGTGCATAAGAAAAAGAAGAGACTTGAAGATTTTGAAATTATTCCTTTATTGCTGCTAAAATCATTGAAAAAAGCATGAAAGATTCAAGCCTGAAGGATCGCACATGATATTCTGCCCTGTTGTCTAGGACAGTGGTTTGGGCATCAGTGGTGTGAGAATGCATAAAGCAGCTTGAATCAGCAGACAGGCTCCTTCAGGTTTCTAACTAAGGATCTATGGTGAACTCATACTACACTGGCATGCCAGATAGTATGGCAGTATGCGGATGGGAGCAGATGTATCCCTCTGAGTTGAATATCACGCTGAATGGTTAGTGTGCACTGACATTCAACGCAGCCAAAGGGGTCGTTCACCCTTTGCTCAGCCCTGTATCCCCCCGCCACACACTTTGACCCACTGTGGTACCCTTTCTGTTTGTGTAGCAGCCTAAGGTTGAGGCAAAGTGTTGATGGGGAGAATCGTACTCCATGAGTGTGCACACAGTCACTGAAAGATCTGCACACTGAGCTCAGAGACTGTACAGTGTGTGCCTGGAAACTGGATAATTTGAGCAATGACAAATTATCTAACGGCCTCGTGTGAAGCTAGATCCTCCAAGTCTTGTTACACTGTTCAAAATGCAGACTATGTGACAATGTGTAGGGAGTGCACTTGTGTCTTCAATATACAGAACGGCATTTGTGTTGAAAAAATGTGTGATCTGAAATTATGAGACTGGTTCTGTTTGCGTTCTTGTTATTGTTATCAGATCTCATGAAAAGAACAAAGTCCACTCAACATCACTACCTTGTCTGCGGGACTCAAGACCATTCATCCATATTGAAATATTTAAAAATGTCACATAAATATTATTGTGTGTATATAAATTACTTCTTTAAACAGCAGTCATGTCAAGCGTGTTACTCAAACACATATTAATACACATACAGTCTAGCGTGTGTATGCCAGTTTGTTAAAATATACGTTACAGTGCCCATGTTCATTGTAACTAAGGAAATGAGGCTCAACAAATGTGTAAAGTTAATAAATGGTTGGTTTTGGTTTTTGGTTGACAATAATAACAATCTAGAATATCTCTAGACCCATCTTTTATGACTTCTGCTTGTTTTGTATACTTTATGTCATGTATAGGTTTCTCCAGGTAATGAAGCTTTCAGAACGTTTCACCTTCAGAGAGTCGGTCATAACTCCCAGAAGACTTGAGATACCACAGTAAATAAAAAGCAAAGGTGTAAAAAATAAAATAAATAACTGATGAATTTCATTTATCTGTTTCAGAGTCCTATTGTAACACCTGATATTCTTACAGTGAATACGAAACATTTACTCTTATATATTTCTTCCTCTAGCTACAAAGAGTTAACATTTTTAAACAGCCTCTCGGGATGGAGTTTGCTCATTTTTCATGAATTAAGCTAAGTGATCATAAAATGTTATTGAATAGTAAACAGGAAAGCTATATAACCTATTGTGAAGATATTTGTTTTGAGAAACAAATGAATCAACAAAATGCTTTACAATATTGCTGTTTGTTTCCTGGAGCTAAGTAGAGCATGTCAAATAAATATGTGCTGTATTGTGTGGAAATATTAATTGTTTATGGATTACCAGATAATTGTGTTCTGCTTCACATGTTTTGTTTCTACAGTATGTTGGTGCACTTTTATTGGCTAGATCCTCTGTCGAATACATTAAACTTTATCTAAAGCCATCAAGAGCCATTTTGGGATCCCTTATCCGCATGCATCTGTGTTCGCACTGCCACAAATGTGTTTCCTCTCTTGATAGGGAGGCACAGAGGTCATTTTCTGTGGCAGAATATAACGGACACGGGCCATTTTGTGTCAAAACGAATCAGTGGGAAGATGAGGCAGTGGGCTCAGAGGATGGTCATGAGATGTCATCTGATGCTCATTTGTGCACAACCGTGACGGCGATGATGATCAAAAAGAGCGATGTCACTTTTCCTTAGAGTCAAATTCTCATTGCATGAACTCCATGGAAGCATGTGAAGCCAAAGAGATGGAACAGATGGAAAGATTACACTTTACTGATTTCTGCTGCCGTTCATTAATGTAATCATGTCAGTGGCTCTATTCATATACTGTACACTCACGTTCTCTTCTGTTTGTTCTGCCCTTATATGTGTGTGCTAGACTCAGGCAGAGGCCCACTACAAGGGTCACAAGCATGCTCGCAAGCTGAAGGCCCTGGAGACGCAGAGGAACCGGCAGAAGAACGGACAGAACCCATCCATAACTGGAAAAGACAGAGACCGAGAGAAGGGGCTGATGGGAGGAGGAGCGCAGCCCACCAACTCAAATTTAAAAGACATAACGGGTATAAATCTTTCCTTTTTTTTTAAGGTGCCACTCTCTCCCTCTTCTAAGTAATTAGTGTTAATTGGAGAGACATAAGCGGCACTAAAGCTTGGGAAGCTGTCACTCAGTCAACTGGCTAATTAGCAGCTATTACCTGTGCTGCTATCATTGGCTATGTCAGATAGTTAATTACTCCCATCAAGCAAAGATGTGAAGCACCTGAAAAATAGATGCTATCTAAGGAGCGATGTAGTGGTGTTACTGACTTTGAGATTTCATTTTGACTCAATGCAACACCCACTTACAGTTCCTTTTTCCTATAATGAAATGTGTTGTCGCTTGCTAATGGGCACGTCAAAGGGTGGAGTAGAACATTATGGGAGAGAGAAGAGTAGGAGTAGCGTGCGCCTTCATGTTTTCTTATCAAAATATGACTTAATTAGAGTAGTAGTAGACCAGACTTGTTGAGACCAGACATGGAGGAGGAGGCCAGAAACAAAGGCAAACAAATGTTTATCTTATTGCAACAAAAAATTAAGATTCACTTAGAAGTTTGAATTTAAAGTGGACCTATCATGCTATATTTGAAACATATATTGTAGGTCCATACCTATATAAAACATGTCTCTGAAGTTCATGCATTTTAGCCATGCCTCATTTCGCTCTATTTGGTCTTTTCCAGCCCTGTTTTTGCAAGGGCTGATTCTGTGACTACAGCGCCACTTACAGGCCTGGCATATGTACTACAGCGACTCCAGCGCTTTCGAGCGGTCTCTCATTCCCTTGATAGGTGGAGAGTTGCCCATATACAGTAGGCGGAGCACCCCTTTTCTGACGTCAGAAAAATTCAAATAATAATCAGCTCCGTTGCAGCCCCGTTTTTAGAGATTTGGGTACAGAGGAAAAGAGAGAGGGTTGTGTTTTCTGACATACCGGGGACACATATTCATGTATAAAAGACGTACAAAAGTGCATTTTGCATGATAGGTCCCCTTTAAATGTTGGTAGGTTTGAAAATAGCTTTGCAATTTCCATATTTGACGTCATACTGAGAATACAAGTCTGAAGACTATGTTCACTTAGAAGGCCACCTAATGTATATTTCTCTTTATCCAACCCCTTGGTGAATGTTGTACTGCACAAAAATGATGATAGATCATGCCCTTATTGTCTTTTAGTCTCCCCACTTCTCATTCTTTAATAAGGAAAAGTCACCATCTTCCTTTCTTTACTCTGTCTAGCTTTTCTTTTAATAATTGATCTTCCCCCTCCCATTTTCTTCTGCCCCTATCATTTTTCTTCCATCCACACAATGATAAGCTTGTTTCTTTCAGGGGTTGCCATGGTTTTTGATTGATGGTGACAGAGTGAGCTGCTGCAAAGATAACGAAAAATTGACAGAGACAGAGGAAGATTGATTCAGAAAAGATAATAACAAAGGGAGGAAAGTGTGCAAAAATTAAAGAGAAAAGAGAGCAAAAAGTATAATATCAGGACTTTATTAAGGTATAGAACAAAAACAGAAAATGACTTGTCGGCGCCACAAAAAGACGGATAAGAAAATAAAACAAAGAGGATTGCATTAGTCAAATATGTATTTATATCTTAATTGTGTAAAATTCATTTATTGATTGTTGTTGTTGTTGTTGTTGTTAACTCTACTGTACAGGCTTTTGTTTGCTGTGGCTTTACAGGCGTAATGATCTCAAAGCTAGAAAAAAAGGATTTGTGAGCAGTGTATGTTATAACTCAAAATAATGAAGATTTACCCACATATTTGGTGTTTATTGACGTTTTTTTCAACAACTAAAACTTTTGTTGGCATTGAGTGAACGCTGGTAATGTATATAGAAAGATAATGACTGATTGTAACAATATCTCTTCCTAAAGTAGATACAAATGTTGAAAAATACTGAATAATAACTTTTATTTTACAATACTAATTATCATCATCAGAATAACTTTACATACTTTTTGCATTTTGCTTTTGCATTTACTAACATTTAACCGTATAATAAAAAAACCTATCATATTGTAACTCAAAGTGTAACTTCTTTGTTTATTTGTCTTTCCTCAGGCCCAAGTACCTCCTCCCAACCTGCAGAGCAGCAACCAGAAACCGTGCCGGAGAGCCCACTGGTTCCCTCTCCGTCCTCACAGCTCTTACCCACAGACTCCTCCTCACTCGGGTCTCCTCAGCTGTCTCCACAAATCTGCGCCGACTCTCAGCTTCCTGGTCTACCTTCTGACAGTCCTCCAGTGGAGGAGTGCAGCCCGGCGTCCGGTTCAGCCCCTCAACCTGACCCTCAGGGGAGCTCCACGGGAGGTGAGAAGGAGGTGGTGGGGAAGGTGGAAGAGACTAAGGAGGCCAAGAGCGACAAAAAACCTCTTCACTGTCCTACGTGCAAAGTGACGGTCAATTCGAGCTCACAGTTGGAGGCTCACTGTAGTGGTATGTCCTACAATACTACTGATATTATTTAGTGGAAACAGACAACTTTTCCCCTTTAATGTCTCCAATTGGCATCATTGTGGGCACTGCTGTTGCAAAGACAGCCGTGTTGCTTTCCATTTTCCTCAGAGCTACCAACAACCCAGGACACAATAGATCGAAATGTAGTTTGCAACATGGCAACCGTCCAAATCAAAAACCATAAATAGTCCAATTTGACTTAGAAACCGTATATACTGTTAGATCTTTGGATGAGTTCTTAGCTATTTCTTTGAGATGCCTCCTGGTGCAGATCTCTCTGGGAGTTTTTGATTCAGTGTATATGTTTGGGGCTTTTTTTGTGAAAGGTTCAAATTAAAACCAGCTGTTAACAATGTAGAGCCAATACAAAGTTTGCCGTCTTGTATCAGACGAAAGAGCCTACTTATTACTTATTATGATTGTATTAGCTTCATAAGTAAAGGCCCATTTCAAGGCTCTCCTCTTCCTTTGTGTGCCGTACATCGAGCCTTCATTTTCCCGTGAGATCGCAAGCCAGAGGCTGACAGAAATGATCTGAATGCCGATGGTGTCACTATTGTAGAGCCGTTACAATGCGCAATCAACATTTACTTCATAATGATACGTTCAAGAATAATTGTGAATGCCACTTTAATGTTAGCTAGTTTTTTATTCTAACATTCAGTCCTCTTTGTTGGCTGATTCAGGTTCTAAGCACAAACAGATGCTTGATGGTCACAAGGGCAGCCATTCACAACGCAGGGTCCGGATGTCATCATCACCCAGGCCCACCAGTCGAATTAAGCAGCGAATGGGCAGCAAGCCCAGAGCCTTGGTGGGTGTATCCAGCCAGCCTTTTCACTGTGAAATGTGCCAGGTGTCCGTCAACTCAGAGACACAGCTGAAGCAGGTGGGTTTAACCTGATATTATAAATGTAAAAGATTTGACTACAGAACCCTAACCTTGGTGTTTCTCAATTCAAGATTTGTCTATTTGGTTTTCCTAATCAGTGCTGTCCTGACTGAATAACTTTATATTGTTGCCCCTTTTTAGCACATGAGCAGCAGGAGACACAAAGAGCGTTTGGCTGGGAAGCCTGTCAAGGCGAAGTTCACCCCTTATAATAAACTACAGTCCAGTGCTATCTTAGCGGTGAGAATTTGTTACACACACACACACATACATTTGAAATAACATAATCAATTATTCCTGGTCTTGTGTCAACATATTTACAAGTTTAATGACTGCTTAGTGGTTTATAAATATAAATTAATTTGTTATGGTAAAACACACTCTTGTCCAGACGGAAATATCTCAACATAGCTTGGATGGACTGCCATGACATTTTGAACAGACATTGATGGTTACTAAATGGTGAATCGTCATGCCTTTAATGATACTCTGACCTTTTTATAGAGGCATCATCAAGTCAGAATTGACATTTGTCCATTGTTTCATGTGTATATGCATGTGTATGAGCAATTTAGACACAAGCTAAATTAATGATGTTACCAAGATGTACTCTGTGTTAAGTGTTAATTAGCAAATGGGGAACAAGGTAAAGGTAAGTTATAACGGCTAATCATCAGCATCTTAGAATCTCATTGCAAACCAGTTAGCAGGATCATTTTGATATGTATTGTGACTTTGGTTTCAGACTAAACTGGCCCTGCAGAAGCACTTTTCCAAGGCCCTGCCGGCGGGGTTCCTGGCAAACCACCTCAATCAGGCTGCTTTGTGCTCCATGGCTTCTGGAACCTTGGGACTTCGCCTGCCGCAGGGGCCCACAGCCATCATCCACGGTCCCCTGATCAGCCCGACACTCTTCAGGCCTGCCCCAGGACCTCTGAGGGCCACACATACACCTATTATCTTCTCTCCTTACTAGCAATGAGCCACGCTAGGTTGGAGGACTTACAGTAGAGTGGACATTACCTAGCCAAAGCTGGACTAGCAGGAAAGACAAGCATGGTCGGTGAGGATAAGGTACGGGACCCCCTAATGGACACCGGGACACAACGCAGAACGCGCTGGCAGCATATCAACATGTCATGTTTGGCAGGTTTTAGTCATAAGAACAGTATGCCCACTCCCTAGTGTGGATTGATACTTCAGTACTGACTGACCATATTGTCTCCTCTTTCAAAATGGACGGACCATCACTCAGCTGTTTCCCCTCGACTTTGTGTTGAGTGCATGATCCCTGGGGTCTGGACCTCTCTGGAAGCCATATTGACAAGCATCTTTTAGTTTTATTTATAAGATAATCCTAGACTAATACAATAGCGTGAGTAAATGTAATTAAGTGTTTGTTGCCAAAATTCTTTAAATTTCAGAGCTTTCTAATTTTACTCTGGGAGAACAAGTACAGTACTTCATTCCTGCTTTAGTCTTCATAACCAAAATCAAGAAAAAATACAGTTTGCTAATGAAATGACAAAGGAGATTGATTGCTGAGGATATTGCTTCTAAGTAAATGTACATGTCTACAGCCATTGTCTGAAATGTATGTGTTTCTTTATAATTTATTTAAGATAAATACATTCATTTCTCTGTCTGTTTCTCTCTTGCTCTCTGTGTTATGAGGTGACAATCAACGACCACCCTGATATGATGCCAAGAATTCTCGCCATATGGAAATACATTCAAGACTTGTTTTTCGTTAAAGTTATAAGATTAAAAACTTGTGTGAATAAATAATGTTCAGCAACAGCTTGATGCTGCGCATATGAACAGACTCGCTGATGTGTGCTGTTGCCCAAAATGTAAATCATGTATCCACAAGTTATTTAATGTGTCTTTGATGTCTTTATTAAATCTGTTATTTTTGTAAGAGAATTGTATTAAAAGTCAATCTTCTTTTACTTTAGAAATCCCCTCCCATCTGATTGTGTTGTTAAATCATTTTAAGCAATATTTTTGTTTTGAATTGCCCCTCGGTCAAATGTATGAATAGTGTAAGTGTGCATCAATTGCAATAATGTAAATGATTATGTGGAAAAAAATGTCAATACTGTATTCTATATGAACTTATAAATGGTACTGTCTTTTTTACACTTGTGGTATTTTCTTCCTTCATATTCAAATATGAGTCTCTTCTATAAGAAAGTGAGTCCTGATAGATATACAGTGAGTAAAGGTGTAGTCCATGATTGATAATAGTTATGGGCAAGAACACTAAAAGTATTGCATCATCAGTAATATACTGTTCTCATTTGAGATCACTCAAAGGCCAGGGATATCATAGGCAAAAGAAAATAATAAATACATTTTTTTAACAAAATGAATCATCAAGTACAGTAGAGCATATCAACTGTGGAGAGTCACTGAACTCTAACTCCAATCCTATAGCTGGAAACTGTTGAGTGGGAAAGTCATGCTAATGTGTGCCCCATACCCGATACCTTATGATACTCTAGTGCCCTCTATTGGTATTTTGCTATAAAAAAAAAGAAGCAAGATGGGTTGAGCGGAGATGTCAGGGATTTTTCTGAAATATTATACATTTTTACCAATCTAAAATATACAGAGCGTATAAGTATAAATTAAACAGAAATGCCATTGAAATCACTGTATTGATACACTAACTGTGTTTTTCTATAGTGTCAGCTCTTAATGTGACACTATCTCTAAACAAAGTAAGCCAAAGCATTTATTTCATCTGATAATTGTAAGTCACTTTGGATAAAAGCGTCAGCTAAATGACATGTAATGTAATAATTCCTGATGATAGCAGCCTGATGGCCTCAAACACAGTAACAAGGTAAAACAGTAATTACTGGTGATTTTCCTCCTTTTTCAGAACATACATTTTTAAAAGCAAATGTACATAACTTTAAATATTGATTAAAGCCACATATATAATATAACTATGTAATATTGTATAATTGATGATGTGATACAAATCCTGCTTTGGGAAAGTTATGCAAGAATATGTTGTATTTTGTATATTGTTTGTGTATGTGTTTTCTTTTATCAGTCTATAATAATAATAATAATAATTATAATAATAATAAACAATCTTTAATAATGATAATATAATAATAGTTATTATTATTACAATTGTAATAGAGTTGAACTTTTTTTTTTTTCAAATTATAATTTCATTCATTTCAATTGGTGACAAATTCCTTCAGACAAACATCTCTAGCTACTGATATGCATTTCTTATTTGCTACGCATTTAGGATTCTAAATAACATTAATATTAACTAAGAAACAACCCTAAAAGGACGGGGTTCATTATGAAATGTAGTGTTACGTTTTCCTTTTTTTTCATAGGCCTACTTATGACCTCAAAAACTGAAGAAAAAAAGCTCTCTTACCGGAAATGACGTAGGTTCGTGTTCGTCCTTTCCAGAAAAAATGGCAGCTGTTGACATCGACGTACCGGTGGACACAGACCTTGAAATCCCTAATCAGGATGACTTGGAGCGGTAAACATTTAAATGTTGTGTGTGTTTAGTTGTGATGTGTGTATAGTATCAAAATAACCCGGGATTCACGGACTGAACCAACCCGCCGCTAGCTGACAAGGCTCGGACACAACAACGAGATCACGAGCTAACCAGGCTAGCTTTACCTGGGAAAAAACGGCCCTTTATACAACATCTTACATTTGATTAGTTGTCATAATAACAGGCAGTGGCATAATTGTAGTTGTGACTGTTACATCAGTCCGCATATTGTGGGTTTCTTCTATTTCACTTCGAAACTTAATCGTCAAGAGAAGCTAGCTAAGAAAATTACCGTGTCTCGGCACATGCTCGGTTACAGCTTTTTAAAAATATTTAGTAATGTGAGACCCATTAGTTTTTTTAACTATTTGTACTGACCCATTTTAAATCTGAACATGTTAAAAAAAAAAAAAACAGGTACAGTATTTTCTTTGTTGCCTAACAGCAGATTTATGTGCTTAGATCTTTCTAGAAAGTTCCAGAAGAGGCAGGCAGATAGCATTTAGCTGGACTCAAATGATCAGATCAAGAAACAGTCATTATATAACTTTAAAACATCTAAAACGGCCCAAATTAGTAGTACTTTAGTGTTGTGATACCAAATTAATGTTTTCAAAAGTAAAAAGCAAATTGGATAAATGCATTTTCTTTTATAGGAATCTTCTAAATGCTGCACATACATGTACAAATTAACCACTTCACTGCTGAAAAAACCTGGCAACTGAAATGTAAAGTTGACAGTCTGACTTTGAGCTAACATTGCTTAACAAAAAAGTTGGAAGCTAATCTGTACTAGTGTCCAAATGTAAAATTAATTGTTTGAAAGAAGACATGTTTCCCCTCTCTATTGTGTTAATATTTGAATGATTTCTGTAACTGAAACTATGGTAAGCTATTAGTCGGCCAGATAATATAAAAAGGAAACGTGTAATTGTTTTGTGACCCATTTAAAGTAATACAAAAAAAATCCCCTGGCTGAAATTGAAGAGGATTTGAAGATTTCACTTTATAATAAAAAAGGTTGATGAAAGCTTCTGAAGGGTTCAGTGAGATGTATTACATAAGTAGTCAGCTGCATTTCTGGTCAAACTCCAAGTCAGAGCTCAACAATAAATATAAAACATTGAAATAAAAAAAAATGTACTAGTGCAATCTTCAAATTTCAAGGCAAAATGTTGCCAAAGTACCATTTCAAGTCTAATATTCTTATGACAAATGAAGGGTGAATATGCTTACGATATCACCCAGGGCAGCAGCATGTGACAAATGTTATAAAATAACAGAATTTAACGTACACTTATACACACACTAATCATTGTTATAAGTTGTGTTGGTCTTACTAAAAGAGCCCAGTTTTGCAGTAAATCGTTGCTGCATTCCTATCTTTTGGTTTAATTTCTCCTGATTCCCAATCTGAATTGATGGAAAGAACTGCCCATGATGTCACTGACTTGGGTGTGGCATCAAAAGCAACTCTTTTGAATACTTCGTCACACAGAGAGGCAGCCTCTCCCTTGAACCAGACAGTGTAGATTTACCCTTTAACACTTGGCTCTTGAAAGGGCTGCAGCAGGTGAATTTCACTGCTATGTTTAGTACTGCAGCTTCCAGGACTGAGTGTGCCCTGCGCTACTGTCCCAGTTCCAGGTGTGACTAACTCAGTCCTTTCAGGCTCTTCTTCGTTTCCAAGAAATTCTCTGATGGAAACAGATGACCAAACCAGCTGGTCTGTTTTCAAAAAATGCTCTAAATAGTGATTTATGTGGTGCTTTTCATTTGTTGTCTGATTTATTGCTGAAAAGTTTGATTTTGCTATGTTTGATGAGAACATTACTAATGTATTTATAATTTACCTGTTCCAACTTGACATTGATTTCTGATTTATTTATTTTTTTCTGTAGTGAGGCTGAAGGCTTCAAAGAGCAAGGAAATGCATTCTACAGCAAGAAAGATTACTCCGAGGCTTTCAACTACTATACCAAGGCCATAGGTAAGATTACCACTCTTTACCTATTGACCAATTTTTATTCATATTCTCCTATCGAAAAATGCTGATATTCTCATTTTGTTGCGCCTCTCCCAGCAAATCAGCAAAATACATTACAGTGACATATGAGTCATTGCCCCCTCCTGGGATATTTCCCATCACATGTCCCCTCCATGTATTTTAAAACTGTAACTTGACTTCTGCCATTTTAATGGACATACAATATATTTGCTGTATTCATCACTTTTTTGCCCCTACATCCCACTTTGCCTTTGTGACATGGGTTTTCTTTCTTTTCTCTCAAGATGCCAGTCCCAAAACCGCCAGTTATTATGGGAACAGGGCAGCTACCCTCATGATGCTCTTCCGCATTCGTGAGGCCCTAGAAGACTCCCAGCAGGCTGTGCGGTTGGATGAATGTTTCATGAAGGTCGGTTTGAAAATCATCTTCATTTTTTTGCTTTGCCTGCCGCTAAGATACACAGAAAAGTGGGTTTACGTTTTCACGCTGTTTTAAGTAGGACATGTTTCCCGTCTGTCCTCCAGGGTCATCTACGTGAGGGAAAGTGCCACCTGTTGTTGGGAAACGCCATGGCGGCCAATCGTTGCTTTCAGAAGGTCTTGGAGCTGGAGCCTAGCAACAGAGAGGCCCTGCAGGAGGTGCGGATCACCTAAACATTTTAGATTTCATGTTATTCTCATTTAGGAATACATTCAATTGAATAACATACTAAGAACAGCCTTGAAGCTAAACGTTGAATCTTGTAACTCAAACCCATCTCTTAACAATGTAAATAAAGTTTTGATTATTGTCCTTATGTTTCAGAATAAGACTGCCTCAACTCTACTAGAGTACGAACGGATGGCAGAGTTTGGCTTTGAAAAACGGGATTTCAGAAAGGTATTTCATTCCCTATTTCTTTCCCCCCCACCAAACTCATTAACAGTGCAGCCCATTTAAGATGTGATCAGTTGTTCACGTTGTCCGACTAGTTTTTCTTTGCATTTAGGTATTTCTAACAACTTTTATAACCATGAATATGCTTTGGTTTGTAAAAGCCCAATATTTAAACACGCTGACAGAGTTTACAGGCATCTACTTGATTATTTGTACAAATACTTACTGTCCATTGAAAACTGTGTTTAATAGTTCTGCTTATACTAGGACGGGTAAAATGCAGAATCTTAACTTCCCGTTGCCTTCTGTTTAAATGTATGACAATAAAAAGCGTATCTAAAATCCCCCATTTCCATAGTTTGCACACTATTTACATACTTCTCTTCACACTGTTGTTTGTTTATTTTTGAATTCATTGCTTAATGAATCAAATATTGAATTGTATTAATGGGCTCTTGTGCTGATCCAGGTGGTGTACTGCATGGACCGGGCCTTAGTTGTGGCTACAGCCTGCCACCGCTTCAAAATCCTCAAGGCCGAGTGTCTGGCTCTGCTGGGTCGCTATCCAGAAGCCCAGTCTGTTGCAAGGTAGGACCCACTGCTGTTAGCTTCACGCTGTATGATGCTTTTGTTACAGTTACCGTGATGCATTCATTTTCTTGAATTGATTTAACTTGAAATATGTTTCCAGGTTCTGCTTTAGTTGCTTTCTA